GATGTTGCCGGCGGCGGGGGCCGCGGGCGAGGGCGGGGCCGGGGCCGGGGTCGGGGCCCCGGGCGTGGGCGTGTCCTCGCTCTCGAAGACGTCGTCCGCGCCCACCGCGCTGCCGCCGTCGGCGTCCAGGGACTCGCTGGAGCAGCAGCTCTGGCGCTCCTCGCGCTGGTCGAACTCCTTCTGGATCTTGGCCTTCTTGAAGGTGGCGTAGGCCACGCGCGCCGCCGGCAGCACGTCGGACAGGCGCGGGTTGTACTCCACGAGGCGGTCGGGGTCCAGTTGCGACGGCTTGTTCTCCAAGATGTACCTGCGGGCAGGCAGCTCCATCTTGAAAACATCCGCGTTGACATACAAATATCGATGGCTTTGGGGCTGTTCAGAGCTTTTTTGCTTAGCGTCGAGCACCTTAGCGTACAGCCCATTTCGCACCCTAATGCAACAGGGCCACAACTCCAAAATCATTAATTTCGCAGGAGAGCCTTCGAAAGTTTTCTAGAGCCAATATACAATAAGAATTGAATTTAAATGGAATTGCTATTACTTATGACTTACTACTCTTTATGAAAATAAAAAATGGCATTGTTGCATGTCATGTAATAGAATCTAACAATGTATGTTTTCAATTTTTTAGAAGATGTGGTCCTCTTGCATTAGGAATGCGATTTCACCTTCTGCGCCAGCGCCAAATCCGGGTCAAAGCGTTAACCTATCGGATTTAGCGAGCGACTTACATTCCATGCTAACCTACCACTCAGTGATGCTGTATGGAATTTGTTCCCAGCTATAGTGGTAGTGCGTGATGCTACCTCTATAAATCTATGATTAATATCGTGTTGGTCGTATTATCTGTAAATTCAATTATCTACTTGTTTTTAACAAATACTGTAATTTTATAACAATATAAGTGCATATGCAAATCAGCGAACAACGGACTGCTATAGTCAAACAAATGGGAATGAAAAGGATATGCCGTTACTAAAATTTAGCATTCGACACAGTTCATAACGATCTCCATTTAGAAGATAACATTGTGCAAAAACACTTTTTAGATGTCACTTACCTATAGTGACGTGGTTGTTATACGCAACGCTACGCTCTACCTATTACACCAAATTTTAAAACTGGGATATTTTGAAACATGGATGTTTTGATTTTGAAAATGTGTTCCCACATTCTGCACACCACTCATATTCTGAACAATATATACACGATGTCATTTAAATATCTACTTCCCTCGGATAAAAAATCTTAATTTTTATATTTGTAATTGTAGGAAGGTGAAAAGACTGTTATTTTCGAAAATGAGTACAATGAAAATGAAATCTGCTTCATTATTTTAAGCATTTTCATGCTATACGAGAAAACGTTGTCAAAGCTTCGTCACCGTTCGGATTGTTGGGCAGATGGGTAATGAGGCAGACGTACTAACGATCGGTTTAGTCACATCCAGACGGAATGATAGACGGACTGACACACATTGTGCAATAAAATTTGTGTTATACAGCCACTAGTAAAAGCGGTTACTTTCAGGGCATATAGAGCGCGCTAATTGTTCCCCACCTGCGAATGCTCTGCCGGGAGTGGCGGGAGCGCGCCTCGCTGGTGCTGCCGATGGGGTCGCGCACCATGGTGCTGCGCCGCACCAGCGCGTTCCAGTCCTTCTTGGCGCCCGCGCCGCCCGAGCCGCGCCCGCTGCCGCCGCGCCGCCCGATGGCGCGCGCGATCTTGCTGAAGACGTCCTTGGGCTCGCGCAGGTTGCTCACGGCCTCGTTGACCACGCCCTCCACGAAGCCGATCTGGAAGTCCTTGAGCAGCCGCCGCTCCATCACGCGCCCCTTCTTGCCCGGCACTACGCACGCACGCGCGCACGCACGCACGCACAAAGCGGTATTAGCCGGTGGGAGGTGCCTGGTCGTGGAAAACTCCGCTAGTCGACGATAGGTCGGCGTCGGATCTCGCCATACAGCGAGGAAAATATCACAGCCTCAGGCACTACACTTAAGGGACTAATGATTATAGTAGTTGACGCGCTCGGAGTCACTAAAATTTAATCAATCAACAAAGCGAAGTGAAACGATGAATTTCAGAATAAGAGCTACAAACGTTTAGAGCTTGTAGTTATTTAAAAATAAGATTTGATGCTGCAATTGCGAAGTACTTGCTCCTGCGTGGAGTCAAGATGTATGGGGGAGTATGCATGAAACGGTGCAATTTATTCTTTCCAACATACCCAACTGTGGAAAGAATTAATAGAAGATGATATAAAGTAGTTAGATTAACATTTCATGAAATTAGCATTCAAGTTACAGCTTCAAGTTAAGCCAATTCGAATTCTTAAATGTATCCTCATTGTATGAATATTCAATGTGAAATTGCCTCGAATATTATTTTATTCGTAACTCTTAAAGAGGGTCATATCTTTGGTATTCGCTGGAAGATTTCCTTTGCTGTAACGCTCAATACAGCGCTCTTGTCGCCACGCGAATGATGATGGTTAGCCAAATGATCAATAGACAATACTACTTACCCCCACGGCGTTTCACTCTTTAATACTTTTATTCCTGAACATTCTGACCACAGAATGCTGACTACCTAATATGTCCTGTTGTGGGTGTAGGGCGCGAGTACCTTGCTAGTTGCCTTGTGGTTGTAGAGCACGAGTACCTTGCGTTACCTGCTGTGGCTGTAGGGCGCGAGTACTTTGTGTGACCTGTCGTGCTTGCAGGGCGCGAGTACCTAGCGTGTCTTGTGGTTTCAG